GTCCACAAAAATTCAAGAATTTTGATTTATGCATAAAATATTCTATGCAGAATAATAATTTATTATTTTGTCAAAAATAGTCAAAATCACATGTTAAGTCCACAAAAATCCAGAAATTTTTTAGTACACATAAAATAAGCTGTTCGGGAAAGCAATTAGTGATTTGGCCGAGAACAGCCAAAATCATGTGTTATAGTCTACAGAAATCCGAGAGTTTTGGTGTACGCATAAGATATATTTTATGCTAGATGACAATCTGTTATTTGGTCCAAACCATCACAATCATAGATTATAGTCAAACCATCAGAATCATAGATTATAGACTACACAAATTCGCTAATGTTTAAGACGCATAAAATATGTTATGCATGAAGGCAATGTGTGATTTGGTCAAAAGCAATCATAATCGTGGATTCGTCCATAAAAATTCAGATATTTCAAAGTACATATAAGATATTCTATATGAGACGGTAATTTGTGATTTTGATTGAAAACAATCAAGATCATAGATTATGGACCACAAAAATTTGGGAACTTTAGAGTATGCGTTACATATTTTATGTGGGAAAACAATCTGTGATTCAATCAAAAATATTCAAAATCATGGATTAAAGCCCATTGAAATACAGAAACATTTTAGTATGCACAAAGTACTCTATGCGCGATGGTAACATGTAATTTAGCCATAAGCTTCAAAATTACGACTTATATACCACATAAATTTGAAAATTTTGAAGTATACATAAAATATTCTATACGAGATGATAATTTGTGATTTGGTTAAAAAAAGGCCAAAACCCTTGATAATTTTCGAGTGAGCATAAAATGTTCTATAAGAGACAACTTGTGATTTGGTCGAAAATAGCTAAAATCATAATTATAGTCCACAAAAATTCAAAAAAAATAGTATAAATAAAATATTCTATGCAAAAAGGCAACTTGTGATTTATCAAAAATCGCCACTTTCATGATTAAAGTCCATAAAAATCCTCAAATTTTGGAGTACGAATAAAATATTCTATGAGGGAAGACAATTTGTGAATTGGTACAAAGCGACCACAATCATGTATTATGATCCACAAAATTTTGAAAATTTTGGAATATGAATATTCTATGCGGAATGACAATCTGTTATTTGGTTGAAAACTGACAAAATGATCGATTATCCAGAAAATTTTGTGAGTTTAGAATATGTATAAAATATATGTATAAAATAATTTTGCAAGACAACAATTAGTGATTTGGTTGAATAAGATAAAAATCATGTATTATATCCACTAAAATCCAGAAATTTTAAAGTACGCATAGGATACTCTATGGGGAACAACAACTTGTGATTTGATCTAAACCAGAAAAAATCATGGGTTATTATAATCGATAGGAATTCAACAATTTTGAGATAGACATAAATATTCAATGCGAGATGTCAATTTGTCATTCGGTTAAAAAACGCCCAAGATCATGGGTAAATTTTGGATTATGCATACAATATAATATTGTATGAGGGACGAAAATTTGTGATTTTGTTGAAAATGGCCAAATTATGTGTTATAGTCCCTAAAAATACAAAAAAAAAAATAGAGTAGGCATAAATACTCTATGTGAGATAATAATTTCTTATTTGGTTGAAATATCAAACTCATGGATTATAGTCCTTAGAAATTTGAGAATTTCAAGCATGCATAAAATATTCTACAATGCGATAATACATGATTTAGTCAAAAACAGCCAAAATTATGTGTTGTAGTCCACAAATATTCAAAAAATTTGGATTACACAAAATATTTTATGAGGGAAGGTAGTTTATTATTTGATCGAAAACGGTCACAATCACAAGTTATAGTTCACAGAAATTTAGGAATTTCAGATTACACATAAAATATTCTATGAAAGACAACAATTTGTGATTTGGTCAAAAATGGCTACAATTATGAGTTATAGTACATAGAAGTTCGGAAAATTTTGGAGTACGCATATTTTACTCTACATGTGATGGCAACTTGTGATTGGTCCAAAACAGTTAAAATCATGGGCTACAGTCCACAAAAATTTACGCAGGGTGACAACTTGTGGTTTAATCGAAAATAGTCAAAACCATGGGTTACAATTCGATAATTTTTGGATTTGGAATATGCATAAAATAATCTATGTCTGATTGCAAGTTGTTATTTCGTTGAAAACGGGTAAATCATAGGTTATAAACATCTAATAACAATGAAAATTTTGGAGCATGCATAAAATATTTTAAGCTGGACATCTATTTGCGAATTGGTAAAAAACAGCCAAAATCATGAATTATAATCCACTGACATTCTAAAATTTTGAAGTGCGCACAATATACTTTATCCGCCATGACAACTTTGATCTGGTGGATAACGACAAAAATCATGGGTGATAGCCCACAAAAGGGATTTTAGAGTATGCATCAAATATTCTATGCGAAACGACAATGGTCGAAAATGACCGAATCATTAGTTAATTTTGGAGTATGCATAAAATACTCGATAAAGGATAGTAATTCGTGATTTGATCGAAAACGGCCAAAATCATGGGCTATAGCCATCGAAATTCAAAAATTTTAGAAATTACAAAGTAGCATATGCGGGAAGGTAGTTCGTGATCCCATTGAAAATGGCAATAATCATGGGCCAAAATCATGAGTTATAAATTATAATCCACAAATTTCAAATGTAGTATGCATAAAAAATATTAGACCAAAATCATTGATCATAGTCCACAAAAAATTCGGAATTTCAGAGAGGCAAAATACTTTACATGGGACGGCAACGTGTGATTTGGTCGAAAATGGCCAAAATTATGGATTAGTCCACAAAAAATCGAAAACTTTGCAGTACGCATAAAAATTCAAATATAGTATGCATAAAAATATTAGACCAAAATCATGGGTCGTGGTTCACATTTCACAAAAATTTGGAATTTCAGAGAGGCAAAATAGTTTACACAAAATGGCAACTTGTGATTTGGCCAAAAATGGCCAAAATTATGGTTTAATCCACAAAAATTCGAAAAGTTTGTAGTACGCATAAAAATTCAATTTAATTACAAAACGACTAATAATTGTCTATAAAGAACAACAAATCCAAGCAAAAATTGGTTGCTAAATTAGCAAGTGCTCTAGACAATGACTTGACTCTCTTTCTCGTATGGCCCACTCTCATTTTACATACAGCTAATGACAAAGACATCGAAAAACAAACAGATAAATGAACCCCGGTTTGGAACCAAGATTCATTTGTTTAGTCCAAGTTGGACCCTAGTGTGGAGTCTGTGGACTCCCCACAAGCAAGCTGCTTGACGCACAATCAGGAGCTAAGAAGCAAATTATTTTTTGATGGGTCCTCAGAAAAAAGAAGTTATTGCTTAGAACACAGATAGCTTTGACCAAGCACCAAGAGCAAACAGCAAAGATAAATAATAGCAGCAACCATGCGCTAAACCTAATGGTTCAAAAAAAAGGAAGAAGGAAAAAGAAATGGACATAGTAACCTTTTTACAATTTAAATTTGCAGACCATGTCTAATTTACTTGAGAATACGACTCAAATGGAATATATGTAAGTAGACTACAATCTTCATCCCCTGCACTACCAAACTGCAAGCTTATGTAGAAATGACAACATTTTCAGACCAACATGCCCACAATCACATCTCAGCCTGAGGAGTTCACGGGACCTAGAGTTGCCATGCTGGGGTCTAATTTGGACTAAACAAATGAACCCAGGTTCCCAACACAGGTTTATTTAAAAAATGAGAAAGTATGAGCAACAAATTTCAACCCAAAAGTGATGATGTTGTCAGAACATGATCGTTCTTCTATAAGTATATCTGAGGCCAATGTTTTACTTTTGACTCCCGGAAATTCACTAATCCTGCTAGCTGAGTATTTTATGTCTATTCTAAAATACCACATTAGAGTCTTCTCTATGACAAAAGGATAAATGACAGAATCATAATGTTGTTAACAGAAAATTGAATCCCTTTCTACTCCTATGCAGAATATTCGATACTGCAATAACCAATCGTCTAAGCCAGCATCCTGGATATGAACAAGTTTCAGCAAATATAGCATGACATGAGAGCAACCATCCCCAAGTCAAAAAGACGAAATTTAGGGCCAAGGTCAGACAAAGATGAGAATCTCCATTGAACTATCAATTGATGCATAGCTATTGTCCCTCTCCCTAAAAATACCTAGTTGCCGGTCTGTCCCTACAATGAGTATAGGTAAGGTTCTGACTCATCACCGTTAGAAAGAGTGAATCCATCTCTGGGTTCAGGGTAAGGCTAATGCACATTATAATGTAGCTTCTAGGACGTATCAAACATCTCAAGTACTAAACATGATATAGTTTGCAACGCAGATACAACATGTATAATCTAAACACACAAATATGCTCTGTATCACAAATGAATTCTTTTCCTCACATTCATCAGCTATATGCTTTGAATTTTTCACAACAATGTTGGCCATCCGTTACTTTTTTCAGAGTCGAAGGCTCTCATTAGAGAATGACAAGCATACATACACATACAGGTATACATGATATGAACCCAACAGTCAGTTGCTAACAGAACTCATAACCATATGTAAAGCCGAAAAATTTTACAAACAAAAAATTGTAGGGCATGAGGCAATGAGGCAGTAGGACAGTTCAAGGGGCGAGGAAAAAAAAATTGGAGCTTTTCCTAACAACCCAACAAATGTACCGTGTAGTCATGTGAAAAAGATGCTAAAGCATAATTAAATAATTATACATCAAGAACTTGCCTCCAATGTATCATTCTGAGACTACAATACGCACAAGTCATCCTTAAAAAGATAATCAATATTTTTAAAGCATGGAGCAAGGGTAACAAGTCTTGAATGCAGGATAAGGGGATAAAATCATGATATTCCAGCAGCAAGAGAGTACCGTACATTAGACATAATTTGACAAATAACATAAGAGTGAAAAAAAGTAAGTTTTAAATCACCAGTACCTCGTTGAGAGTGTGTATCAGAGTTCTTATCAGAGCCAAGTGACGGGAAATCTCCAGAGCTCAAAGTGAACCCACTACTTTTGGGTAATACAGTCCCCTGTGATTACAACAACAAATCAAGAAGTATGCTCGTTAAACAGATTTTGAATTAACTATAGACACATACTACGAATTGAATATGTCATGAACCTATCTATAGATCTAGAATATTCACCGAAATTGTAATTTTTTAACAGAAGAAACATTGAGGAAAATACCAATCTCTCAGCAGACCCTGCTGCACCCCATGCAGCTGTATTTTCAGCTGAATTATCTGCAAAGCGAGATAGCTGAGAGCTACCAGGTCTTGTCTCAGCACTTCGAGGACGTGTTGCTGCTGGCGATACCTGGCTTGATGCTAATATCCCTGATGCTGATGACGGACGAGAATTTGGGCCCCATGCATTAGAAACCGGATCAAGGGATTTATCACTGCCAGACGTAGAAGGACGTGTTCCTCCTCCAGATGATGGACGGCGGCTTGGTGAACCAGCACTTCCATCAGTAGGGGTAGACAAAGTACCAGAGGTACCCCATGCATTTGGCGCAGCCAAAGATGGTCGGCTTCCCCATGTGAGCGTACCCCTAAAATAGCAAGAGCCACATCATGCATGAGTATAAACTATGTATAAACTATATAAATATATTTCAAATAAGAACAGTAAGTATTTTCAAGATTTCTGGAGACATTGTTGGTGACTCAATGTATGCTTCAAAAAGGTTAGTTACGCCTGGAAGGTGCATAGCAGGTACAACTGCTTAGACTCCCTACATGCAACACTAATTAAGCAGCTTGAAGGTGCTGCTCCAGGGCCAGTTTTGCAACAGCAGAACCGCCGCCAATAAGCATATAATTGTTGGTGTAGCGGTTAGCCAACAAGAAGATTATACAAATCTTCTAAAGAAGAAGAAGAAGAAGAAGAAGAAGAATAATGTGAAGAGATGAAACTTACTTTGGTACAATTTCAACATTTGGGTCGAGCCCGTGGTTTTCCAACCTAAGACAAAAGTAAGATCGTGACATTTGCAGGAGATGACTGACATGCAGATAACATATAAATTCACGACTAATGATGCTGGCAGTATTTGTTATGAATAGCATGTTACCTTTGGCTGGGTAAGTTAATAGGCTTTGGGACTTTCCCCAAAACAGTGAGCTTCCGTGATGAAGCCAATCTGCAACAATGAAAGAATAAGACAGCAGACAGAGAAATCTTCTAGGAAACTATAAAGGAACAAAAGGGTACATTCAGAATGTCAGAGTTGACAAAAATATATAAGATGGCACAGATATAAACATATCTGACAGAAATGAAAAAACATTAACCTATAAAGCAAATGTTACCCAGCAGTACTAAAAATTGTTGACAAGAATTTATAAAATAGCACAGATGCAAACACATCTGAAAGAAATGAAAAAAAAAACATTAACCTATAAAAGCAAATGTTACACAGCAGTACTAAAAACAGTTGACAAGAATCTGTAAGCTAGCACAGATACAAACACATCTGAAAGAAATTAAAAAAAACATTAACCTATAAAGCAAATGTTACACAGCAGTATTAAAAATTGTTCAAAAAAATTCTATTTAAATTAGACAGAATAAACAATATCCAACAAGAACAAAATGAAAATATTTATAAGTTAAGTTTTTCTTTCTTAAAAGCTAAAAGACGAAGCCCCATGCTTATTTCTCAAAATAAATCTGAAAGGCGCATGACACAGAGATGGAATATATTCAAATATATTCAAATATGTGAACAAGAACCACCTGATCATAACATGATGCCATAGACAATAAGATCATGAGTTAAGATGTGAATAGTAAGTTGTAATTGAATTGTAATCATGAAACATCATATTTAATAAACAAATACAACTGACAAAAGTAATAGATGATCCTGACAAAAGTAATAGATGATCCAGTATCATATTCTTATATTGCATACAACCTAGGAAAAGCTACTTGAAACAGGAATAGGAACAAACTCTGCCTATCAATCAGACATGATGTGCCCTGACCTTTTTTTCAGGCAACTTCCTCTTTTGGAACTGAATAATAACCAAAAAAGAGTATCTAAAAATTACCAAATCTTTGCCGCAGAAATGTTTTTCTTTCTACATTTTTGTTCCTTAACCAATTTAGAACTTACTCTAGCATATACATGCATAAGCATATGATACATAATACATCGTCATCAAACTGTAATTTCAAAGGAATAACCAAAATAACAGAATGACATCTGGCATCTATCAGTAGCAAGTTCCTCTCAAGTAAATTTTGAGCAACCAGGAGGCATTGATAACAAAGAAATATCACATATATACCTCATACATCTCACAGAATATTTTTTTTTTTTTACTTCACTCATTTTGTCTAATTTGTAATTTGATTTGGAGGTTAGAAGAAGTTACATTAGAAGATAAGATGGATGCAAGTTAGGTTAAATATTAATATATAATCCCTTAACTTGGTAGAAGGAAGAAAATATTTGAATATGTATGCCAACTTGGCCAGAGTCAAATTCTTTCGCAATGTTGCAAATTAGGACATTGCAAATTAGGATGATGACTAGGAAACTGTGAAAACGCTTTAGTCTTTGAGGAACTTTAGACCTAGGCGTATTCCTAGACCTAGGCGGTATGTAGGCCACCTAACTAGCATCAAGTTCATGGACGATACTTAGGCTGCCCACCTAGGTTTTTGGAGTGTTTAGGAGAGCGTTGTCTGTTTACGTGGACTGCACCCTTTAGGCCTTGATCGTGATTTTCTGTGTTGCAGCCTCCATGTCCTCCAACCTCCTTCAAACTCCTATAACCTCCAAATATGAACACTTCCACTAGCTCCTCTGACCTTCAGCAAAATCACCTCGACCACCACTTAAATAAAGAAATAAAATCTGCCAAGACATCAGTCTGGTACGTAAGCTTTCTATAGCATTGACATTTACTATTAATTATAATAATTAAAAAGAAAAAAGAAAACATCCAAGATTCTAGGCGTCAGGTCCAATGCCTAGGCCTCCTAGCGCTTTCTATAACATTGTTAGTTATTGTTTTGGCTATTTAGTTTTTAAGCATGCAAGGTTTATTGTGGATCTAAGATTGCTATCTTTTTTTTATAAATTTATATGAATTTAATACATATTTTTATCAATTATTAAAATTAAATAATTTGAAAAATAGCTAAATGCCCAGGCGCCGCCTAGGTGTACACCTAGGCATCTAGGCGCTAGCTCAAACGCCCAGTCCGTCTAGCGCCTTCTGTAACATTGGGCCCCCCACACATTCAGACACATGTAGCCTTTGTTTCGAACATTATTCTTTCCAGCTATGCAGAGCCAAATCAAGTTTAAAGGTTATTTTAAGGCTAGGAGGTTGGGTAATTTATCAAATAGGAAAGAAATGGGCGTGTAATTCGCAATTTATCAAATAAAAAATGGCTGCCAAATTTTGTTATGTTTCTGTTATGTTTTCCTTAAGCATCAGTCACTATACACAGAATATGATAACTTTGTTGTGTAGTAATCTATATAAAACATGTGTCTATATATATATACATATATAGAGAGAGGGGGAGCGAGAGATTAATGGGTGTCCTATGTGAAGGAGGGGATTTTCCTCCTTGACACCTATGTGACACAATCCCCACCAACTCACTCTCTCTCTCCTACTTTATGAGGATAGTGGAGATTGTGCCACATAGGCGTCAATGAGGAAAATCCCCTCCTTGACAAGGATACCCATTAATCTAATATATATATATATATATATGTGTGTGTGTGTGTGTGTGTGTGTGTGTGTGTGCGCGCGCGCGCGCGCGTGGATGCATGTATGTATATATATACATATGTATGTATATATATGTATGTGTGTGTGTATATATATGAGAGAAATGGGTATGTTTGGTACCAAGCACAAATTTTGTGCTTGGTAGTGAGGTGGCATATTCTCATCCACTCAGTCCAATTCTCAACCACTCCCCAACTCATGTGAATGTGGGCCCCAAATTCAATGAGTGGAGGGGAATATGTCACATCACTACCAAGCACAAAAACTTATGCTTGGTACCAAACATATATAGATACATATATGTATGTATCTATATATGTATACATGTGCGTATACATATATATACATGTATATATACATATACACACATGCATATACAAGGTTTTAAATATCAGATATTAGGGAAATATTAGATGGCCAATATTCATATCCGACTACGAATATCGAGGAAATATCGGGGATATGTGGTAAATATCGGAATGCCATAACGGGTATTTGCATATCTAATATAATACACTAAAATATAATCTCAACATATTTAATGAAATCTAAGCATACAAAATATTAATAATATATGTTTAGGATCACTAATCAACCTTGTAAAACAAACAAAAGTACAAACCAACATTACAACATTTCTTCTGATTTTTTTAGGCCAAAATGTCAGTTGATATAATGGAAAAATCATGATATCTCACCCAAAAATTGCCAAAATGGTATACTATTTCACAACAAGCCGTATAAAATGGATATACTGGTCAACATATCAGCTGATATATCACCATATAAGAGAGATATGGCCCAAAATAGCCAAAAAACGGTAAAGGATATTTAGAGATCATATCAGTTGCGACAAGCCCTGTAACAGAATATATCGGCGGATATATCAGGTCATGTTGGGAATATTTAAAGTGTTTTCAATGCGCGAGGCGCAATGCGAGGCGCAAAGCATCTTTACGCGCACATGCGCAAGGCGTAACACGATGCGCGCGCCCGAGTGATGCGAGGCGCACACCACACACATAATATTTCAATATATGTAATCAAGCGCGAAAGAACATATTTTTAGAATTTACATAAAAAATATCATGATAAATAATATCTTGCTACAAAATCACAATATATTGCCTTAATTTCTAATGCTAACACCCAACATAGTAGCAAATTTCATAAATTTTTAAATCAAATGTTAAATCAAGACTTATATTCAAACTAAGGATTAGTAATGGTCCTCAATTGAAGGTTATTAAAAAAGCCCAATGGATTTATTTTGTTTTTTGGGGTATGGAATATCAAGTATAAAGACTCGATTGAAATGTTAACAAAAAAAACTATATGAGAAAATGCACTACATGCATCCTACACAAAGTACGGATGTACGCGAGGCGCAAAAGGCGCTGCTGCATCAGATGTGGGGCGCATCGCCACCGTCCCGCATCGTAAAGCGCATGAGGCGCAATGAGGCGCGCGCATTTGCTAGAAAGAATTAAAGATGAATATATATATATATATATATATATATATATATATATATATATATATATATATATATATATATATATATATATATATATATATATATATATATATATATATATATATATATATATATATATATATATATATATATATATATATATATTATGTGTGTGTGTGTGTTTAGCAAACTAGAAAGAATTGATGATGATTGAGTTATGAAGTTATGATCCAATGATGACTGCAGTATTTGTATCTTACTCCGTTTCAGCCTTCTAAGTGTCTTCTTTTATTCTCGGTTTCACTTATTCATATCCGAACTTGGATTCAATGCTCTTGAAACTCTTATTTCTCTGTATATACATATCCTATTTCAACACCTTTTGCAACATTGCACTCTCATCTCACATAGAACTTTTGAGCTCAGCATGTCTGGAAGCACCCTACCATAGTTCACCACTTCAATTATCTCTCCATGAACATATGCACATTGTAATTCAGTCTTTCCTTCTTAATTACTTCCTGCCTGCAAACCATACAGAAAACTTTCTCACCAAACTTTTCCAGCATGGTCTCTTTGCAACCAGTTCAAAATACAAATTGATGCAAAATTTTGCAATCCAATAGATTTTCCAAAATTGATTTGCCAACTTATGGTCGAACAGGTTCTTCATTTTCAATCTACAACTGGTTTATTTGGGCAACTAATTGGTTTAGCTATTTGATGGTTCCATAGCATGTCTACTGTTTCTGATTCATTTAGGTGTGGAATTTTATCATTGGGTATCACTGTATTAGTTAATTTGAAGTTCTCTTTATAACAATCGTATGCCCCAGATCTCTTCGAGCCAATCTAGGGCAATCAAAAGATTTGCAACATACAACACACACTCTTTTTGAATCACTTCCAAGAAAACAAATGGACTTAAGGTAAATAATCAAGCATGTTGATTCAGTCAGTAGAAAGCATAACGCATAAAATCCAAGCTACAGTAACACCACACATTCAATACATAACACACTTCAAACTGAAGCCTCTTGACACGTAACCATAACTGAGCAAACATAAAACAAAATAGGTTTGGAAAATGACCTCCGATCTCCTGTGAGCATATTTGAAGCCGTATTTCACCTGATATTTCTGAAAACTTCTCCCACTAAGCATACAGAACAACTGAAGCATGAAACCATATATATTAAACACTGACCTTCATAAAGAAAGCAACTGATTTCTAAATAAAAAGTATTTGACATCTGTTCTAAATCAACAAGCAACATAATGCTTGCTCATAAGAAGGAAAACAAGAAAAACATAAAGCCACCAGTTTAATTTAATTGACAGTTGATACAAAAGAATTTTATATCCAAGCGATGACATACATTCAACCAAGTCCTATTTTTCAGCTTTAACCAATAGACACTGTATTTTATGAAGCTCATGTAGACTAATTGGAAGGGTTACTAAATGACATGTTCAGACAAATCCGAGTTGAAAGGGTGGATTATCATGTACGGAATATGCATACAATTGTTTAGCCAACAATAGAAAGAAAGAAAGAAATGCCCATTGAAGAGTAGATGATAAATTACGCCTATCTAGCTAGTTATAACATGCACAAAGAAGCAATGTTTTACAAAGTGCTAGGTGTTTCTAGACACCAGACCTAGCGCCTAGCGCCCAAGAGCCTAGGCGGACGCTTAAGGGGCACATAGACGTTTTATAACATCAAGAGAGGAATGATTGTTTATGAAGATTCAAACCATATCCGCACTATTTTACTTGAGATAGACTTGGACATAGAGTCTTGATCTCCGATACATTTTAACCTAGCTAACTCTCTTCAACTATCACTATGCTTAAGCGAGCAATATACCTCTTTCTAACACCCTTTTTTTTCCACGAAAGCCGTCATTCACCCCTAGGCACTCCTAAGACTTAGACGGGCAGCCTTGTTACCACTTAGGCTTAAGCGACCGCCCAGGCGCCTTGACCGTTTTTTAAAACAATGCAAAGGAGAAATTTTGCTAGACTACTCCTTGTGCGAATACTAGATGAATATGTTATTTTTCTTGGTATAAACCTTCTGCAATCATGTCAACTGTCCTTTGGACTCCATTGCAAGCTATAATATAAGGTCAAAACAAATCAATCATATAAAAAGGCACTGCTCTTCCCTATTTGCAGATTTTATTTGAGTGGTAACTATAACATAAGAGTGGTTGCCTTCGGATCCAACTTTCTCTAGATTACAATTGAAGCCAGACAAGACTAGCTTCTGTATAATAACCTAGAAGTGAACTAGACCAACATTCCGTACACTTTCTAGATTGGCATATCATTTCCTCTATATTCAGTAAGCAGTATGAAGCTTCTATATGACTAATACAAGTACCCATCAACTTTGTTAAATTATAATCAAGTTGGATCGACATGCACGGGGAATTAACCAAACAGGTGCATCCCTGCGCATGGAAAACTATGATGAAACATTTCTCACTACATGCGAAAAAGTTAAAGTCGAGGATAGAACGGGAAGGTGTTAACTGGATGCATGAAAATAACACTCACGTTCTACTTCATCCATGTCTCGAGAAAATATCAACATTTCACACGAATGCACATAAGCATACATCACACACGGGCCTAGAAATTTCCCCACTGTTACCATTAGTAGCATTCAACAATATATCGTCTCATTGTCATCGAGTCAAAAAAAACTAAGAAACCCATCAAAAGTGTGCACAATGAGCTTGGTGTCAACAAATCATGGCCTAATTAATTAACAGCCAAAACAAGAACACAACAATTTACAAATTGACCAATCCAAGAATAGTTACAATAATTATTTATTGCACTAATCAGATTCCATATCATTTAAATCATGCAAAGTATAGCATTTACCAAAAAGAAGCAAACTTTCTTCATTGCAAGTTGTTCTATGATTATACTTGACCAAATTTACATAAAATCAGCTAAATTTTACCCGATCGATCGAATGGCAGAATCGACACGGCGCGATGGAGAGATCCCCAACCACCGAACAGGAAACAAAGATCGGGGCTTAACCCTAACCCTAGAACGAAGGAGATCGAATTGAAACCCTAACCTCTTATTTGAAATTAACCCGAAGGACTGGAGTCGCTCGTTGGCGATCGGAGTTGAGTCTGGAATCCAAATCGCCGATCGCGTGATGTTGTTGAGAGGGAGAGGGAGATGGAGAGGNAGAGAATTAGACGAAAATAGGAGGAATATTGAGAAAAATCTAGTGGGTGACGCGTCAGAAACGCGATCGTTAGCTTCCGTGTTCGCTGAGTTGTACTTCACAGGTACTTCAGATCACTTGGGAGTTATTCCAGAAGAGACCGAGATATCTCTTTTGCCAAAGTGTTACGGGACCCACAATGTTCATAACGGTTGGGGTTTATTTTTGGGCGTTGCTTTTAAGGCCACGCTGATTTTTCTCGTACAGGAATTTTGCCTTTCCACGTATACCAATGTTATTGACTCTTTTCTCTCCGGTTAATTAAGTGCCCGTTTGGTTGCCGTGGAGGGCTTCGGAAAGCCTATCAAAACTGACAAAAACTATTAGTTTTGACAGCCTTTCTTGTAAAAACATTATTTTTTAGGGTGTTTTTGCAAGAAAGCATGTTAAAACTGATAGTTTTTGTCAGTTTTAGCAGGCTTTCTACCCATTTTAACTACTATTTTCAGCAACCAAACGTGCTCTAAACGCATACCACCTGAGAGTGGTTTTTTTGTTTATTAGGCTATAGACTCTAAGCTAACAGCACTTATGCTGCTAGTTTATTTTTCTCCCTTTGAGTGTAACTTAATAAGGGCCCGTTTAGTTTAACAGAAATACCGGAAGTAAGAAACAAATTAAAGAAGTAACTTATAAATTTATGAAATAGGAAGTAGTAGAAGTAGCATTGTTTTTGTTTGTTTCACAGTTTTTGAAGTAGTGGAAATAGTAGTTCTCATTCTTCATTCTCTTTTTTTGTTGAGATAGCAATGAAAAGTCTTTAGGAAGTAAATAACAAAGGAAATATTAATAAGAAAAATTATTTATTTCCTAATTAATATACATTTCACCTACTTCTAAGCTTCTTCCGAAACTTGAGGGGTGAAAAAAATATTTTGAAAGTAAGGATGACACATAGGCGCCACATCAGTGTCTAAAGAAGTATTGAAAATAGGTTTTTCAGAGAAATAAATGGTATTGTTTTAATTTAAAGTAGCAAAAATAGTCTCTACTTTCTTTACTTCAGCTACTTCATAATTACTTTCATACAAACAAACAGGTCCGAAGCAAAGCAAATATAAACAGAACAGCAAAATTAAACTACATAATAAAGATAGAGATTGGAGAAAGAAAATTTAGAACATCATATTAATATAGCGAGCAAATCGACTATTACACAATAATAGATCATTGCTAAATTAGTATTCCGAGGATAGTCAAGATCATCCAAAAAAAATGAATACGAAGATACTTTGTTTCAGATGAGGACATAAAATAGCTAAAACTAGCTATTCCTAAACCTCATCGAAATGATGTTTATAAGAAAATGGCTGTTTTCAATACCAAATTCCTCAATAAACATTATTATATATTTGATCGGGTCGATGGCAGCATTGAGCTACATGGAGAAGATATCATTCAACTCCTCAATCAGAGAAAGATAAATAAACAAAGAGAAAAATATAAAGATATGAAATATCTTCATCTTGAACTCATCCAAGTCAAAATTACTGGACAATTCAAGTCCGGTATTAATACACCTATTATGGTAATCTATATGGATGAATCAATAATTTTAAATCCATTAAATGCCTTAATAGGTGGATGTAAATCCAATTTAGCCAACAGAATTCTTGGTGTCAATATTCACCCAAATTACTCTGTTGCCCTTCATGACCCTCACATATATGATGTGGTAAAATTAAGCATTAATCTCAAAGGAATTGAGAGAAAACCCGAGTGTTAGGAATAATGTGGGAATCTGTAGTAGCACTCAGTCAAACATCTACCTTCTTTGGTGTAAAACCCCAAAATTTTGAATATTTTATGATAAATAATAATAAATATGTGATATATTTATAAATAATATATTATGATGTTTGAGTATGCTAGGAATTGGTTTGAGATCAATTCAATGTATATATGTATATATGTATATATATAAGAGCAAATGCACAATTCATGCTCGATGTATAAATCTGGAAATTTATGACCAGTGGAGAGATTTTGTATTTTTTTCTCACAGATGTAGTTGGAATTTGGAAAAACTTAAAAGATAAAAGTTGTAGGTATCTTCAAGAGCTTTCCAACAAGTCTTAGATCACCTCATTCCGAGATCAGATTAGGATTCCTGGTTCGGGTCAAACGGGTTATTTTGGCTTTGCATATATTTAAACATGTATTTTCATGAAAATTAACATCCTTACATTAGAGTTTCAAACCCTAGCAGCCCCTCTTCCTCTCTCTGAATATCTAGCCCTAAAGTTGAGAATTTTGAGAGTTTTGTGAAGCAAATATCGACACGAGGGCGAGATCATCAACGTGTAGCAAGGGGAAAACGGCTTGGTTGCACTTCTTTTTTGTTGCTGGTTATTTCAGAGGCTTAGAACGACGTCTAAGGCAAGATTATTTTCATCCAAACCCTTCCCCATAGTTAAATAACTAGTTAGATGTTTAATATGATGTTGAATATGTGTTTTCATGCTTGAATCTTAACATGATGTGATAAAAGTTAAATTTTTGATGTTAAAACATAAACCAATGCTAGATTAATAATTTTTTCTTGCTATTTATGATAGTATCATGATCATGATCATTAGGATTTTTTTTCATAATTTCATTTATATATGAGAAATTTAAGAGATGTACTAAATAAATATTTTTTGCAGAAAACTGTAGCAATTATATCATGTTTAACTGAGATTTAAAAATAGAAAATAAACTCCAAATTTAATCAAACCAGTGCCAAATGAAAGATATATGTATCTAGTTTTCAAAACAGAAAATCATTCTTAAAAATCATTTGTATAGAGAAAGATATGATCTTTTTACTAACAATATGTCCTGTAGAAAAATGGTTGCACATATATAATG